ATAACCGCAGTCGAATCCGTCGTCACGATATGTTATAGAGAGCCAATATACAAGTACTCACATGATTGGAAGATTCCTTTTCTTGATTTGTTTTCAGGTCCTCCTTCAAATCCTTCTCCCTACTCACATCTGCACCGATGTTCGGGGTCTGATGTTTATTAGAATGTCTGGGGGCTCCAAGCGATCTTCTAGAAAGACGTCTTTCTAGAGCAGCTTTCTCTGCACGGCGTTTAGCAGCAGCGCGTTCCGCGCGTAAATGCTGCTGCAACCAGTCATACGAATACGGCCAGGTCTACGGACACAAACAGTGCACCACCTCATATTTCCTGATATCGTACTCGACTTCTGCCTTCAGCTGTTGATCTCCATCCAAGAAAGCGTCGATTTGTTCCTTATGTTCACGGCAGATAACGCTGAGAAAAAGTTGATAATCAAACAAAGCGAACGGTGCACAAACTTGCCGAAAAACAGCATAAAGATATTTTCGTAGTCCAGAGCGTCGTTCATTGAGGTACATGCGTAGATCGAGAAGTGTTGGCATAACGTAATCAAGCATCGCTTTGCGAAATGCGCTGACAATTATGTCTTTCGCCGCAGCCTGCATTCTCGATATGATGAAAATGACTGGTAGTACTACTAGTCTGAAACTCACGACAACAGCTGTTGGTGGTTCCTCTTCGTCATCTGGAGTTCTACCCACATCCATGCTTAGTTTGATTTCTTTCAAAGACAACACCTAAATATGCAGTGCACTTAAAACGTCAACTAGGAAGGATAAATGTATTCACCATCAAAGCGTCTTTTACAAGTTCCTGCACGGGATGGTCTTCGTACTTTATCTTGCCGTTCATGAGCGGACAAAAAATTTGAGTACAGATCTGAGCCATGAGGGTGAATTTTCGCGGATCATCAAACGTGCTTATCTGGGTACCGACATGGACTAGTGAAACCATCTTTCTTAGAGCTTACTACGAGCTTACTTACCATGAACTTGTAGATTGCCATGCGATTTTCCAAATTCTCGAGTCCATGAAGGCAAACTCTATGAGTTTGGTCAAGCGGAACAGTAGCTAGAAATCACTTGGATTCTGAATACCCAATGTAAAAAAATAGAAAAGATGTACCTTCTCTCTCAGAATCCATGGGAACGTTATTAAAATACATCAAACATTCAATGAAATGACTCTCGAATAAGCTAGGGAACTGCAGCAGCAGAACATCACGCTATAGTGAACCTACTTTGATTACACAAAGATACGTCAGCAAGTCTCACCAAACAGAACTTTGCATAATCACTAATTATTTCATTTTCGTCTAAAATCGTGGACACAAAACGATACATTATCTAAAAAGAAAAAAAAGTAAATTATTTACAATTTTTCACGCAACTTGCCTGTCCTTCCCATCTTATGTATTGCTCCTTGATCAGAGAAGTCAGCGACTCTAAAACCTGTTGACGCACCAGTGTAGATCTGTCTTTGAGACAAGCGGCCACTATGGGAGAGTAACGATCTACCATCAGAGTGTACCTAAAAAGAGCTGAAGCCCTCATAAATGTAGACATGATATTTCGACTATTGCGTAACCACGAAACCACCAATGTTTCCTCATATAGTACGTATCCTTTCCGAATAAGGTAATCACAAAACGAAAAGTAGCCTACGACACCCGCCCCGCCCGAAGTGTATG